ATGCATAATGGTTTAGCTGAGAACCTTCTTCAAGTTAAAGCCTTGCTCATCCCTGTTCTTCTTCTCCCAAAGAAATCTCTGCCAGTACATTTTTCTTTATGACATGCTTAGTTGTGTAAAGAAGTCTGAGTGGTTTTCTAATCTGCTTTTTTTTTTGTAGAACCACCACCACCTAAAATTCCCAAGATTGAGACCACTCACCCACCGTTGCCTCCAGCCCACCCACCTCCAGGTAAGCATCTGCTGAGGCAGCTTGGCCAGCTGTGCACATTGCCGCTGAACGATGGACACAGCAGGTCCTGGGAGCTTAGAAAAGGGGGACTGTGGGGCCAGATTTACAGCGTCAGCTATGGGCAGGAATCTGAAAAATTGTTCTCGGGCTGGGCACAATGGTTTGTATCTATGATCCCAGCACTTTGGGAGGCCGAGGCAGGAGGATCACCTGACCCTAGGAGTTCCCGGTCAGCCTGAGCAACAAAGTGAGACCCTGTCCAAAAAATTAGCCAGGTGTGGTAGCACACGCCTGTAGTCCCATCTACTCAGGAGGCTGAGATGGGAAGATCGCTTGAGCCCTGGGCATGGAGGCTACAGTGAGCTGTGATGGCACCACTGCACTCCAGCCTGGGTAAGGAGGAGACTCTTGTCTCAAGGAAAAAAAAAAATTCTCATTTTCACCAGATAGTTTGAGAATGTTGTAAATTGTTAAGTATATCTGACTATTCTCCGACCTCTCACATCCAGAAATGCTAAACTACACATTGTATTAGAATCAGTTTAAAGAAAGAAAGCCAAACCCTGCCAGCTGAGCGTTTATCCAGATGGAGGCAGGGTTACTGTGGGTGCTAGGCTCCAGCCTCCCACACCTGCTTCCTGTCGGCAGGGTGTCGTTCTAGTGCATTTGGACGAAGAAGCAGTTGTACAGAGTAAATGAAAGAGTGAGAAGTTCTCCACAGGTGGGTGGCACGCCGGAAAGCCTCTCCGATCCCAGTGGAAATAGAGGAGAAAAGCTGGAAAGCAGATGGCATTCTTTGCCTGTGGCCATTCCATTGACCATTTCGGAAGGTGAAGCACTAGAGAAGGCCGGAGTGACCTGTGCTTTCTTTCCGAAAGGTGGTTGATACTCCGGAGGCTTCCGAGCCTCTGTCGGCTTCTGCCACCTGCTGCACTCACTGTTGGTCGGTGCACATGGCTCACACTGGGGCTCACAGCACCGTGTGTCCCTAACAGATGTGCCACAGATGACATTTCTGTTTCTACTCAATCATGATAGCGTTTGTGCTTTGGGAAGACAGAGGTGTCATTTTCTACTTTGGGCCAAATCCCAAAACCCCCAATTCAATGTGAACCTTACTTTAAACAGCGCCTGCTGTTGCTCATGGAGTATTTAGGGAGCACCTCACCAGGGACCGTTCCCCGGGTCCAAGTCAGGCTGCCCCTGCACTGAGGAGACAGACAGGTGGCTCACGTGGGGAGCCCAGGGCGGCCAGAGGGGTGCTGCTGCCTCCAGGGCCTGAGTAGCTGCTGTGGAGGCCTCAGAGCTCTGCTCCCTCCCCCATTACAGTTGGCCAGGAGTGGGCCTAGACTTGATTGAATAAGACCTGGGAGCCAGAGCCACTGCCAGGAGGCCATGGGGAAGAGAGCAGGGCCTGGGAGTCACGGCGCCTCCGAAGGTGGAGGCAGCAAAGCTGGGCAGTAACGAAGGGAAGGAAGCGTAGCTCCTGGGAGGCCTAGGCTGAGGGAAGAAATGTTCAGGTCAGGAGGGATGTTTAGGGGGCAGTTTGGTGGCCGTTTGTGGCACTTGGGTCAGGAGCAAGTGTGTAGAGAGGGAATGGTGTGCCAAGGGGAGACCCACACTTGCTGTTCCAGCTCAGTGGCAAAGGACAAGGGCGGGCGCACTGGTGACGTGAAGATTTAGGCCTCGGGGTTGAGTGTTGGAAGAGTTGGCTTCTGCGACGTGGAGGAGTGGGCCTGTGGGCGCAGGTGGCTGTGGAGTGACACCCAGGAAGCATTAAAGGGTGTTGGCACTTTTCTGCACCTCTTTTTTAGTCAGCTTCCAGAACCCCAGGGCACCTGGCCCCAACCTGGAGCCGAAGCCAGTTCTCTAAGGTCAGGCATGTCTGACCTTCCGACCTGGTGGACTGGGGGGCACTGGTCTGCACAGGCAGCCCCCGGTGGCACACCTGTTGCCGACCTGAAATCCTGCTCATGCTCACTTTGACGAGATCAGACAGGTTGTGCACCAGTGTTCGTGTCTACACAACCAGGACGCCATGCTGTGCCTTGCCCAGCCCAAGTGCTTGGGGAACAGAAGCCTCTGATGGCCTTTGCCCGCTTTATGCTCTTCTCTGGAGCCATATGTTCTTCTCATGTTGCTCCTATGGTTTGTCTCTTGGGCTGCCTTGGGAAAGGACACTCATTCTGTTTGGCTCTCTGTGGTGGGGTGTATCGACATCATTTTCCAGGGGTCTGATGGTGACCAAGGGATCACGGGCCAAAACGTGTAGATAAGGCTTTGGTGGAAGTGGGCCTGAGGGCTCCTGGGCTGGGAGGCACCTCGGGAGGGGCCTGTGGCTGGTTCTGAGCACAGGTATCTCAGGAGTGCTTGACACCTGGTACCACCTGTCCCCGTTGCACACGCAGACACAGCACGCATGACACACTTCTCTCAAGGAGACTGCTCTTGAGAGCACGAAGTGGGGTGTATCTAGCCCGTCTTGAGTAGAGTAGAACCTGAATTGCTTCGTTGATGGATATGTTGGGAGTGTCAGAGGCTTGTACAGAGTTGTTTTAAATGCCATCAATTCATCTGACTACGTCTAGGCTATCTGAAAAATGCCAGTGCTGCAGACAGCAGTTCATTATGGTCCTGACTCCTGGGCTCAGATTCTGAAGGCAGAAACGGGCAGAAAAACGCTTGTTGCACTAGGAAGAGGGGACCGGGGCCAGGGCACAAGGGGGCTTTGCGTGCTGCGGAGACTGCCTGTGGGTGGTGTGGTCGGGGCTGAGGGAAGGAAGACCCCAGGTCATCCCAGACAGAGTGGAGGGCCTTTTTGACAGATGATGGGGAGACATCTGGTGGCCTCAGGACATGGGGCACGGGCCCATGCGTTGGGCCACAGAGGTGGCAGCTGCTCCCTGTTCCTCTGTAAAGATGGCCCTGAAGGGCCGGGAGGCACTGAAAGAGCAGCCGTTGCTGGCAGAGGCCAGGCACTGACGCATCTCTCTCCTGCAGACCGGAAGCCTCCCCTCGCTGCTGCCTTAGGTGAGGCTGAGCCGCCAGGCCCTGTGGATGCCACTGACCTCCCCAAAGTCCAGATTCCTCCTCCGGCCCACCCGGCTCCTGTGCACCAGCCACCACCGCTGCCACATCGGCCCCCGCCCCCACCCCCCTCCAGCTACATAACGGGGATGTCCACCACCAGCTCCTACATGTCTGGAGAGGGCTACCAGAGCCTGCAGTCCATGATGAAGGCCGAGGGGCCCTCCTACGGCGCCCTGCCCCCTGCCTATGGCCCGCCCACACACCTGCCCTACCACCCCCACGTCTACCCGCCCAACCCACCCCCGCCACCCGTACCTCCTCCCCCGGCCTCCTTCCCCCCACCTGCCATCCCACCCCCTACTCCTGGTTACCCCCCACCCCCACCCACCTATAACCCCAACTTCCCACCCCCACCCCCACGCCTGCCCCCTACCCACGCAGTGCCCCCTCACCCGCCTCCAGGCTTGGGCCTGCCACCAGCCAGCTACCCACCTCCTGCTGTGCCCCCTGGAGGACAGCCCCCTGTGCCCCCACCCATTCCCCCACCCGGCATGCCTCCAGTTGGGGGGCTGGGGCGGGCAGCCTGGATGAGATAACGTGAGCCTTTTTTCCCTTTTTTTTTTAAAAAAAAAAAAAAAAAAAAGTTTTTGTAATCGACTTGCAGAGTAGTTGAAGTGGGGAAGCAGCAGGGTACCTTGTGTAATGCGTGAACTTTGCAGTATGGGAGGAATGGACCAGGCCCCTGGGATAGAATGGGGTGGTCCTCATCTGGAGGACAGGGACAGCCAGCTTTCAGAGTAGCCTCATCAGTGCCCTTGCAGTCTGACCGTGTACACTCGGTTCAGCTCACGTCTGAGTCCTGCACTGGGTTACTTTATACTAGTGAAGATGTTAACCAGCCATATTGGCTCAATAAATAGCTTCGGTAAGGAGTTAATTTCCTTCTAGAAATCAGTGCCTACTTTTCCTGGAAACTCAATTTTAAATAGTCCAATTCCATCTGAAGTCAAGCTGTTGTCATTTTCATTCAATGACGTTCTCTCCCATGACACCCAGAAGGGTCAGAAGAACCACATTTTTCATTTATAGATGTTTGCATCCTTTGTATTAAAATTGTTTTGAAGGGGTTGCCTGTTGGATGGCTTTTTTCTTTTTCCTCCAGGGAGAAGGGGAGAAATGTATTTGGAAAGTAATGTATGTTTACATCTATTTGCAAATTCCTGTACATAGAGATATATTTTTTAAGTGTGAATGTAACAACATACTGTGAATTCCATCTTGGTTACAAATGAGACTCCTTCAGTCAGTTATCCAAATAAAAGCAGTTGTGAAACTATCCCTTTCTTTGTTACGGGTAGAAGGTGGGGCTCCAGGCCTTTGCAGTCCCTGGGTTACAAAATCTGCAGAAGCCCGTTTCCTCCTTCCAGACCTTGGGGATCCAGGAGAGGCCTGGCCAGAGAGCCAACCCCAGCATCTCCCGAGGCACTCTGGGTGGATCGGCACAGCTGCCTGCCTGTGTCCCGCGCCTGCCTTGGTGCATAGAATACAGGTTCCGAAGTCAGACACGGGCTTGGGTTTGAAACCAACCCACCTGTGATGAGACGGAGGCAGTTGGAGGAGCAGCAGCCTCACCAACTACCCTGAGGGGCCCCGAATGAACCCCCATCTGAGGTGCTTGAGGGGCCATGGCCTGTCTCTGGCCCTGCCCCCCACGACAGAAACACACTGAGCAGCCAGCCAGGAGGCGCACAAAGAGGCCTTTATTTATCTAGCTCAAAGTATACACTATCACAATCTTGTTACTCCTTTTACTAAAATAGTTCAAATCAGTGTTTTTACCACACTATCAAAAAGTTCTATTTCTTTTTGTCTCCCCACATCAGAGTGGTTGGATAGAAGGTAGAAACAGGCCGGGAGTCACAGGCTCCCAGCTCTAAACCGTGCCAGGGCAGGAGGATGGCTCCAGGTCTCACGGGGGCACGTTCTACAGAAAATAGACATAGCTGCCAGGCCCAGGACAGAAAGCAGACATTCCAGTCCATCTCCAAAAAGCAGCGCAAACGCCCCCACAGTATGAGAAGTAAACACCTCCACCGCTCTGCAGTCATGCGTTTTGTTTTCTTTAAGAAAAAAAAAATCAGTAGTATGTATCTTGTTTCCTCAAGTTTCAAGAAAAAAAAATGAAAGGTCACTTTTTTCTCTTTAAACACTGGTGTGTAGCTAGTAACTTGGATAAGAAGGTGCCCCCAACAAAACGTGCTCAGCATGTTCTGGGCCAGGATGGGCCCGGCTGCCTGGCTGAGGCGAGAAAGGAGACCGTCCGTCACAGTGGACACTGAAGCTGAGTGCCAGTGCTGCGGCCAGCTTCACCATCGAGACTGAGCCTTTGAAATGGGGAGGGGGCATCTGAAAGGGCACCCCCACTGGGGGCTTTCAGAGCTAGGAGTCACCCTGAGCTGCAGTGTCCCCAGGGTTCCCCCGTGGGAGGCCCCATCTGACTCTCTACAGCCCACGGTGCTCTGCAACTGCCACCTGTCCTCAGGCATATGGCATCACTACTGCTGGCCTTTAAAATCAGCTATTAATTTGAGATGTGACTGTCACTGACAGAGTTCTGTCCTGAAAAGCCATCCCAGTGCCATGTTGGCTCAGGGGGCACCAGCTTTGTGCTGTCTCCGTAACAGGCAGGAGGGTTCTCAAAGCAACATTCCACTGATCCCTGGACGCCACTGCAGCATTAAGGACAGGGTCCGTCCCCTTGAGGGGAAAGGTGGCTTCAAGGCTGTTCTCTGGACCTGTTTGCAGGACATCCACAGGTACCAGGAGCCCATACTTATTGCTTATTTCAGTGGTGGCCAAGCCAACCTGACCCAAACATGACGCACATGGGTTCCCAGACTTGGCTCCCACTCATAATTGACCCACACTCCTTGGGCTGCTCTGCTCTTCATTAGACGCCAAGACCCAGAAGGGCCTCTGCCCAGCTGTCCACGTGGGCAAGAATCACTGGGTACAATGACCAGCAGGTGTTCACCCAACTTCACATGTACACCCCTGGTGACCAGGAGAGCACCACCTGACCGGGGCACCCTCCTTCCCAAAGAGCCTCCTGGTGACAGCCACATCAGGAGCGCCATACCATCCCATCACCAGCGCCCACTCACTGCCCCCCGCCCCGGGCTAAGATGGGGGGGTGTGAGCTTTCCCCTGAGAGCAAATGGGCAGCGAGAACTGCTCAGAATGGAGCCGCCGGCTAGGGAGAGGGACAGGGTAGCCACCTCCCTCCTGCCTGCATCCCCAGCCTCAGGCCTGCGGGAGACCAGCTGGGTAGGAAGACAGCCTCTTTGGGCTCTTCAGGTCGGGCTCTGAGCACCCCTGGAAGAGCAAGGGAGTCTGACGAGGACCTGGTAAGGTCCTGGACTCGAGCCAGGGCTGCTCACAGCAGCATGCGGAGGTGGGGAGTGGCCTGTCCCCGCTGCAGCTCTAGGATCTCACCTGTCATGTGCCACACATCACTTACCCCACTAGGCCTTATTTTCCTCACGCAAAATTTTCTATTGCACTTGACAGTTTATACATGGTCATTTACAGGAAGAGCTCACTTGATCCCCAGAATCCTGTGAGGAGGGCCTTATGCTGCCCATTTAACAGCTGAGGACACGGGCTCAGAGCGGGGACGCAACTGTGCGCCCGCAGCGAGGACGGCTCCACCCGGCCTGCCCTTGGCCTCCCCAGCAGGTGGGCCAGCGGCTCACATGCCCCCAGTGAGGACCCCTGCCCTGTGTCACTGGATGGCCTGGAGCCATAAGCAAGGCTGAAAAGAACCTCAGAGACCTGTTTCCACCAGGGGCCCAGAGAGGCTGCGTGAACTGCTAAAGGTCACACCGCAAACTAAAGCCAGGACCAGACCAGGCCTCCTTCCCAAAAAGAGCAGAACTCTCATCTGCAACCCAGACGGCTCTGTCCACAGGGACCCAGGGTGCAGCCAGTCCCTGGGGGAGGCCACAGCCAACCAGAGCCCCAGCTGAGGCCTAGCACTGCCCACCAGGAGAATCCCATGTGGCTCAGCCCGGAAGCTCCCCCCAGGCCCTTCGTCATGTAAACCACAGAAAGGGGCATGCCTCAGGCATGGGGCAGGAGGAACCCAAAAAGGGGGCGGCCTGGACAGGGTGATGGGGGACACCGCAGAGACTGTGTGTGTTGGGGGACAGGGTGGCGGAAGACACTGCAGAGACTGTGTTGGGGGAGGGGGGTGACCGCCAAAAGCAAGGAGCAGCTGGCACGGGGTAGCTGGGGATGGATCTCCAGGTGTGAGGGGACCCTGAGCTCCAGGGCTGAGGGTCACAGAAAGGGCCCAGGGCAGCCTCCAGCCAGCCACGGACACAGTGAGCACCCTTGTCCACGGTGCCGGGGACTCAGTGCTGGGTGGGCCTGGGGCCAGGCCACGGCAGGTGGGCGAGAAGTGCTGCCACCTACAGCAAGACCCAGGTAGTGGTGGTCTCCGTCCAGTGGGGGTGGCAGCCAGGAGAAGAGGGTTTGATGAGTGGCCCCTCCATCCCAGGCGGGACACAGGAGCCTGGACGGCCCCTGAGCTGGATCTCAGAGGCAGCCTGCGGCCTCTTGCTCATGGAGCCCAGGGCCCGGGGCCCGGAGGGAGCGAGGCATCCAGGCCGATCTGCTGTAGCTCCGGTCGCAGCGTCTCGTCTTCCCAGGTTGCTGGTGTGTGAGGTGGAGATGGCAGCCTGGGCCAGGGTGGGCAGCGTCCTATGTACAATTCACCACAGAGAAAGAAGACGGGCTCGGCCGGAGGTCCTGCAGTAGCTGGGGCCAGAGACTCCCCCTGGGGACCCCCAGTGGGGCCAGTCCACGTCCACACAAGAGTGGCCCTACAAAGGCCCCTTGAACTGGTTCCCAGACAGGTGCTGCCGTATGGAGGGCTTGGAGCTGGCCGCGTCTCCCAGCTTTCTCCAGACGACCTGTGGAGGGGAGCAGGATGTGAGGGGCTCGCCCACGTCCACGCCCCAGCTGTGCACACCTGCCGCCTCATCACTGCAGAACTGCCACGTCCTCAGAGCCATGGGGCCAGGAGGGACACGGAGGCCACTGCCGACCCAGAGACACCCACGCCAGGTTTTTGCACGCCACCCTCACTATCAGGCCTTGCAACTGTCCAGCGGGTCCACGGGCCCCACCAGGTGATGCGGGGAGGGCTGCACAGGTCAGAGCTCCCGTCCCACCCCCATAAGCCCTGGGCTCAGACCCCATGAAACCCCTTCCCCGACGGCCCCTTCCCCGACGGCTCCTGCCAGCACCCAAGGAGACCACCGATGGTGCCCAGCTGGGTGGGGCACTGGGCTCTCCTGGGTAGCCCCAGCCTGGCAGGCCGGAGGGTTCCACCTGGACCTCCTGCTCTGAGCACCACCTGCCCAGCTGGCAGCCACAGGCAGCACCGGCAAGCTGGGAGGCCCAGGGGCCAGACACCCAGGAACATCCGGGGCAAACAAGACCAGTCCCAGGGAGTAGGGGGCTCCGGCTCTAACCCAAACCCCGGGCATGGTGCTCCTGGGGAGGGCAGATCTGCAGACTAGGGGCCCTCTGGGAGGGGCGGGGGCAGCGAGGTGACGACTGGCTGGGGCTCGCAGTGCCTCCAAAGCCATCCCGCTGTGGCCGAGCATTCGAGAAGCAGAGTCCCACTCAGGGAAGGGTGTGGCCATGCTGGGTGGCCCTGGGCGCCCTCCCAGTGCCAGGCCTCGCCCCCCCCCCCGGAAGCCTCACGTTGCACATCTCGCGAACGATGGCCTTCTCTTTCTCACTCAGGTCCTCCTCGCAGCTGTCCTGGAGCTGCCGGTCCAGGTTCTCATGCACCTCCAGGACCTGAAGGAAATAGGCCTCAGGGTCAGAGGCCACCGGCAGACTTTGGGCAAGCCGCCTGGTCCCTGAGCCTCAGCCTCCCCGCTGCAAACCAAAGCTAAGGACCCTGAGCTGCGGGGACCCTGGAGACAAGCATGGAAAACACTGAGGGGCAGGTCACCTCCTCAGCCTGCTGACGTGTGGATGCCCAAGGGAAGCAGCTCGTGGCTGGGCCACCTGCGGGGAGGGAGACAGGCAGGGCAGGGACAACCCTCAGACAGGTGGACTCACTCCAACCCAGGGCCCGCTGGAGACAACGTGAGGGGGTGGGAGTATGTGTGCGCATGTCTGTGCGCACATGAGATGTCATGGGGCCCGAGAATGGGGATTGTGCTCAGGTGTACACAGCCTGGAGAAACCGGAGCCCATCGGACCCGCTCACCGGGGCCTGGGAGACCTGAGCTTGGTTCCAGCCCCACTCCTGCCCCTAACTCTCTGGCTTAGTGGGGCGCCTGCCCTCCCAACCCCAGGCCTCAGTCTTGCTAGCTGCAGTGGCTCAGGGGTGGCAGACAGGTAACACTTATGACTGCCACCTCAGTTCTGCCCTCACAGTGCTCCAGGCAGCCATGGTCACCCAGCCACCCATACACAGATGAAAGCCCCCACCCCTGCCACATGGATGCCCCCAGGTACAAAGGTCCCACAGTCCCATGGCACACCCAGAATCCGGGGCTCCTGAGTGAGCGGGTCGTCGCCCTCACCTTCATGGCGTGCACGACAGCCTCCGGCTTCTGTCCTGCAGGGCTGTAGCTGGCAGAGGAGGGTGAGGGCAGCTCAGGTACAGGGCAGGCTGGGCCCTGGGGGAGGGAATCACAACTCAGCTCACCCTGGCCGGCTCCCACGTGGTGACCACAGGCATGACCAGTGGCTCAAGAAGGCACTGATTCTCAGGGGCCAGGGCCCAGGCGGAAGGAAAAGGGGACGGAGTGAGGCAGAGGAGGCGGGTGTGAGCACAGAGCCCCAAGGAGCCCACAGCCCCACCTGCCAGTCCTGCCACCAGGTCTTTGCAGATCAAATGGTCCGACAGTACAGAGGCAAAAGGGGTGGTCTGGGGTCCACCCACACCTCTTGGGCTCCCCTACAGCCTCCCACAGATAAGACCAAGTTCAGCCCAGGGAGGGCAAGTAACCCTAATCGCAGCAAGACCAGGAAGGTTTGGACTCAACCATGGCACCTGAATCCAAAGTCCCTTCCCCTTCCCACCCTGGTGCCGCTGTGGGCAAGGCCAGCTCCACTCTGAGCACCCCAGGGCCCTGTCTCCTGCTGCTACCTCCCAGCCCTGTGGGATGAATTGGCTGCCAGGTGCCCGGCTCCCACATTAGGCCTTGGGGAGGGGACCCAGCCTCTGTCAGACAATGTCTGTCTACCCAGGAGCAGGCGATCCCACCCTCAGCTTCCTGCCTGCAAGGGTCCATGTGGCTGGGAAGCCAAGCGCAGGGCTTCTGCTTCCGGCTGCAGTGGGGACCACGGGGGGCCAACAGGAACTAGGAGGTTGCCAGATGCTGGGACAGGCTTACGGGGAACTTACAAGTGCCCAAAGCCAGATAGAAAACCCCCAGCGGTGCCCTGTGGGCAGGAAGGGAACAGGAAGCGGGCTTTGCATTAGTCTTCAGGGCTCCCCACTCTGGCAATCCTTGGGCCAACCCTGGCAGCTGAGTCTGCTACCCTCTCTGTAAATGGGGCCTGGATGACACCTCCCAACAGCCTCGAAGGCTCAGGGAGCTGGGCTGGAATCCCGCCTGCCCAGGCCTGGATCAGGGGCCACCTAACACTGCAGGGCTGGGAACCTCCTGCCAGCCTGGCAGCTGACCCCTGGGGCCTTCCCCGCCCACCTTGGCCAGGACCTGCTCCCAGGGCTCTGCAGGCTGACCTGCTCCTGCCTCCAGTCGGACACCAGGCCCCACCCCTGAGGCTCGGGGGCCTGGGAGCTGCCACCTCCGGAGGCCTCCCCAGAGCACTGGAGTCTAGGAAAGCATCACGGAGTTGGGCCCAGCCCATGCTGAGACTCAGTTTCCTTGTCTGGACAACAGAAGGGGTTCTCTGCCCCAGGTTGTGTGCAGACCCCTAACTCCAGCCCAGGCTGTCAGGTCTCTGTGGTGTGGGGACCCAACAGGGATGCCGGGGTTCCCACTGGGGCAGTGCAAGGGGGTGGTGCCCCAACCTGACATAGAAGGTGGCACTCCCCATGCCGGCCAGCAGGGGGCGCCAGTCACACACATACACGGCCCTGAGAAACCCAGGCACCCGCACCTGCCTGCACCTTCCCCTACAGAACACAGTCCATGTGCCAGCCGGCCCCTGGCACCTCTGGCCTTATGACCCCATCTGCATCAGGCCCCTGGGCTGCCTGTCCCGTTACAGCCCCCAGCTCCAGGAGGCTGGGATTTCTGCAGCACAGGCAGGAGGGAAGCCAGGAGTGTGGGGGTGGGGCAGTACAAGCTGCCCCTCTCCTGCCTGCCTCACTGGGCAGTGGTGGGTGCCAGCAAGGGCGTGGGCCTGGGATGGTGAAAGTGACAGCTGAAGTAGACAAAGTCCCAGTGTTACCTCCAGGGCCTTCCCGGGGTGCAGGGGCCCCTTCTGCACTGGAAGTCAGCCCCCTCGGGCCACACACACCTCCCACTGACTAGGTGCCCACTTAGGGTGGCAGTGCCCACCGAGTGCTTGCTACACTGCTCCAGGCGGGCGCCATCTTTCTACACATCCAAACATGCCCTTTTTTTTTTTTTTTTTTTTTTTTTTTGAGACAGAATCTCACTCTATCACCCAGGCTGAAGTGCAGTGGCACAATCTCAGCTCACTGCAGCCTCGACCTCCCAGTCTCAGGCAATCTTCCCACCTCAGCCTCCAGAGCAGCTGGGACCACAGGTGCACACCACCATGCCCAGCTAATTTTTGTATTTTTTGTAGAAACGGGGTTTCATCAGGCTGGTCTTGAACTCCTGGACTCAAGCAATCCTCCTACCTTGGTTTCCCAAAGTGATGGGATTAGAGGTGTGAGCCACTGTGCCTGGCCTAGGTGCCCACTTTACAGATGAAGAGAGTGAGGCTAAGAGAATGGCTTGCCCAAGACCAAACAGCTTATAAACAATGGGGCTGGGCCTTGAACTCAAGTCTGTGGGACTCCCGAGCTGGTGCCCAAAATGAGGATACCAGCGTGCACCAGAGAGAACTGAAAATATACATCCATAAAATACCTGTCCCCAAATGCTCAGAACACCATTCATGCGAGCCCAACATGAAAACAATTCAAATGTGCAGCAAGGAATGAAGGAAGTGCTCTATCCATACGAGCAAACAGTGTGAACAGAGCGAACAGCCGTGAAATGCAATGAGACCAAGGCAGGGTACCTGTGGCTGGACCCTGAGAACAAGATCCGGAGTGAAAGAAGCCAGACACGAAAGGCCACACGTCATGCGACTCCATTTATATGAAATAACCAGGATAGGCAAATCCGTGGAGACAGAAAGCACCAACCAACCAGTGGCTGGGAGGAAGAGGGATGGGCGTGACTGCCAATGGGTACAGGGGTGATGAAAATGTTCTATTGTGAATGTCCTCCCACCTCCCAGCCTCCACTGGGGGCCAGCCTGGGCACCTGCCCTGACAGCCAGCGGTAGGAGGGTAAGGGTAGCAGTGGGCAGGGAGGGGGTACCCACCCCACAGAGTCACCTGCTTTAGCCAGGGACCCTTTTTGGCATGCCCTCACAATGCCCATGAGCCACAGGGAGCCTTAAAGGAGACCTGCCCGGGTCTGGAAGGGCCCAAGTCCCAGGCAGTGTCTGAACCCAGAGAGGGCCCTCCCCGGCCAATCCCCTCACTCTCCCCGGGGGTCCGAGTGACCGACGTGGGCTCTCCAAGGCCCACAAGGGCCCAGTGCCCTGTGAGCACTGCACGAGGCCCGGCCCCTGGGCCGCTAGCACTGTCCCCTCCAAGGCAGCTGCTTCTGCAGCTTTCGTGGCAGCCCCTCCCACGAGGCACCTTGACCCTCAATAATCACTCTTGGGGGCCTTCCCACCAATCAACCCCGATCCTGCCCCCTGCACCTCAGTTTATAACCCGGCCTCCCAGCCTCATGGAGCAGAGACCCCTGCACGGCCCCATGTTGGGCCCTGACCTCTAGGCACGCACAGGCACTAATACACACTCACCAGAGGGGCTGACCATCTACCCCACCCCTATGGGCCTCAATTCCTCCTCTCCAAAGTGAGGGACAGCCCCTCATGCACAGGGCCATCTAGAGGAAAAAAGGAGGTAAGGGGCATGAAGCCCCTCCCAAGGCTGCCTCCTCCAGGAAGCCTCCCCGAATACTCCGGAACTCTGACGGCATATTATCAGTACTGTGAGGCCCTGAGGCTGGGCCCACGCACAGGGTGTGCTCTCCGAGGCCTGCAGGGCGACAGTGTCTGGCAGGCCCAGTGCACATGACAGCTGTGCTTGCACAGAACTTCCCAACCTGCAGGCCGCACAGAGGGGAGGACTGCGGGTCACAGCACCGAGTCACTGAGAGCTGCTCTAACTCCCAGCCACAAGCTGAATGCATTCGAGGCCCGGGGTATGAAGGCTAAGGAGCCAGCCCCGTGGGGGCATCACTTGGCTTTTCAGAGCTCTTCATTCTGAAGCATTAGCCTCATTCAGCCACAGGACTCCTGGATAAATACTTGGAATATCGGCCATCGGCAGGCTTTGCTGCCTGCACAGGCTCAGCAGCTGCACTCCTGGAGGAAGTGGAAGAGCTGCAGAGAGAGATCGCAGAGCCAGCAGCCAGCACTGAGGTCCAGCCAGCTCTGCAGGGGGGCTGAGGTCAGCCTTGCGGGCGAGGGGTGAAGGGGAGAGAGGAGGAAGGGGTGCAGCTGCTATGGGTGCACACGCTGCCCAAGAAGCACCTCCACACGGCTCTGCAGGTGCCGCAAGGACAGCCAGCGCTTTCTGAGCAGTAGCGACTCGCCCGCCAGGGCTCCCCCAGGCGGAAGCCCCACAACAAGGTGAGGCCCTCATGCGGGCAGAGCAAGTGGACCTGGACTCCCACTGCTTCCCTCCCACTGCCATCACATCCATCCACGGGGCGCAGCCCCAAGCTAGGGTCCACTTCCCGGGAGCTGGCTCCATGTCGCCTGTCCCATTCCCTCCCGGGCAGGTCAGCCAGGTTATTGGTTATTTCGTGGCAGAATCCACAAACCTGAGCCCCAAGCTCCAGGGCTGGCTGGGCACCGTCTCCCCGCTGTAGCCAGGGAGTGGCATAGACTAATGAGCTGCTCAGAGGGGCAGTGGCTGGGCACGGGCAGCCTTGCGCATGTGGCCTCTGGACACTGCCCCGAACCTCCTGCAGTCACCCTACTTGGGCCTCCACCTCTTAACTGCCACGCTGAGCAGGACGCAGGGACACAGGGCCTCAGACCGGGGCTGAAGTCAGGCACCCAGATCCTCATGCCCCCAGGCAGGTCACTGGCCCGCCTGAGCCTCAGCCCCTCATCAGGAACACAAGGGCTTCTTTGGAGCACACACTCACATTCTGCAGGGAGTCCTGGTAGGAGGGCGGCAGGGACGCGAGCTGGGACTCCGAGTGGTAGGGCGAGAAGCCTTTCCGCAGCGTGCGGAACTCTCCAGAGCCGGCCTGCTGCAGGGGAGAGAGGAAAAGGGGTTAGAGGGAGGGCCAGGCTGAGTTGGCCAAGGGCCCTGGGCACGGCTCCTTATGCCAGCAGGGTCTGCTCAAAGGCACAGCCTCAGAGGACCCCTCTACCCTCCCCTCCACTCCCCTGATTCTTCCCCCCAGCCAGAATCAATAGATCTTCGCTCTCCCCAGCTCAAATCTCAGCAATTCACTCTCCAATGTGACTTCATAAACATGTGTTGGACAGCTGAATAAACAGAATGAATGAATGAAGGAGAGCCAGTGAGAGCAAGTCAGGATAGCACTCTCCCACCGCTAGGCCCACCCTGGCTCCTCCACTCTGACATCCTGCCCTTGGGTCCCCGCATAGATGGCACTGTTCACAGGCCTGGGCCAGCCACCTGCAGCACCCAGGGCCACATCCACAGGCAAGGCCTCCCACCTCCCATGGCTCGGGACTCTCTAGGGAGGCTCTGCCCAGGCTGCCTCTGCCTTGGACAGGGAGCTCCTGAAGCAGGTCCTGGATGTGGCCTCTGAATCCCTAAAAACTCATGCAAGCTGGGGTTGTAAACTACTGCCCTGCACACAGGAGGGAGGGAGAGAGGGAGGGAGGATTGGCCTCAGCCCTTGGCTCAAGAGCAAAGCAAATACCCCCAACCCCCAGGAGCTGGGGCTGGGAGCTGGGACCAGGAGCCAGGATGAACAGGTCCCATGAAACTTCTCAGTGTGTGAAGGTCAGTCCCGCAGTGACCCTCCCCTGGCCTAGCCCAGCAGAAGGCCTTTCTTTCTGTACCACAAAGGGGTTTTGGGTGTTTCTGGCCCAAACAGCCTTTTCTTTTTCAAAGGAGAGAAAAGGGCTGCGCAGATAAAACCAGCGGAATGTCCCATAAATCAGCAGGCTGTAGAGTTACCCAAACAAAGTTTGGGGGCAGAGGAGGCCCAGGATGGGGCTGGGCTGGGGCGGAGGCAGGGAGGGTGGGACAGGCTGCAGCCATGTCTGGGTCCCAGTTCCACTCACCGGCCCCCGGTCTGGCCATGAAAGACCCCCCGACATATCCTGCTTGCCTCCCTCAAAAGCTGGACCTGGCCCTGCACTTCTCACAAGCCCCAGTCTCACTAAGGCCAGCTCTGTGTTCCCCCAGCCCCATCAGAGCCCTGGCCAGGCCCCCCACCCGGGCTGGGAGGTCTCAAGAGCTTGGCTCAAGGGCCAGCAAACAGCCATGTCCTGCAGGGGGTGGGGCGTGAGGAGGGGAGCGAATGCTCTATTACCAGCTCCCACGGAGGTCTGCAGAGCTAAGGCAGGAGAGCAGGGATCCGGCCAGTCTCTCCCTCATTAAATCGACATCACCCTCCAGACACCTGTCAGCCAGGGTAGTCGGGCACTGGAGGCTGGGGCTGCTTCCTGGGTCCCCGGGAGGACCTGGTTGTGGTCTTAGGTCAGGGAGGGCACAGGGGAGAGGGAAGCAGGAACCAATCTTCCTGCAGGCCCCCGAAGTGTGCTGGGTTTTAGATGCCCCTGGCGAGCATCGAAAAGGGGTCTCAGCACAAAGGGGGCCTTGGGCACAGCCCTGAACCATCAAATGGGACTGCCACACCCCTGACCTCCGCATTAGTCCTGGCTGACCCTGCCTAGGTTAACCAGAGGCACTCAAAGGCCCCAGCTGGGGGTCAGATCAAGGAAAGCCCCACACCCACCCACCAGGTACCAAAAAGAGGAAGAGGTCCAGCACTCACTCGCCATCCCCCAACATGAGTGTCCCGTCCCCACTAGAGCCACCCATGCTTCCCTGGGTCACCTCTCCTGAGGGAAGTACCCTAGCTCCACTTAAGGGCAAAAATTCCTAACCACTTGATTTTCTTGTAAGAGAGTTACAAAATCCTCTCCAATGGAGAATCCATTCTAAGCAGGCACACACTCTGAATGTGTGCATAAACACACACACACACAGTGACTCCTCTGGGCCATGGAGCCAGGAAGGGAACACCTAGGATTGGAACCACTGCCCTGCCCTCCAGCTGGCCCTGTCCTGCCCTGCCCAGCATCCAGATTCTGTTTGGACTCAGGCGTCCCTTCCTCCACATCCTCTCTGGCCCTCAACCAATGGGCTCCTACGTGCTGTTACTGAAAACTGAAAACGTGGGTTTGTGCTGCCATCCCCTCCCCTCCCCCAGACAATTTCCCTGGGAGGAGGCGTGTGTGCGTGGGCATGAGGGAGGGTTTTAATTAGCTGCACGCAATTCGCAATTCCCACCCTTGCCTTCGGTGAGCCTCTATAAACATTTGCATGTCCATAGAACTTTATTAGTAAGCCACAAAGCCAGGCAGGAAAAACGCACAATCTCTCATTAAGGGGCAATGTGACCAATGACGCATCAAATGAGTAACCATTATTGCACTTAAATCCAAATTAAAAATCCTTCTATGAGCCACGTCGCTCCCTTTGCAGAATGAGACTCCCTAGGATTTCACCGAGGAGCAGAAGCAGGAGCTGAAATCACCTGCTGGGCTTGGTCTGCCCACAGAGAAGAGCTCACAGCTAAGGAAGGCGCTGGCCCTTTTGGGCGGGTGGGAGCGGGGAGGGAAGGGTCTGCTGCCGCTCCCCAGAAACACCCGCCTGCCCAGAGTCTCCCTCAGGACCCAGGGAGAAGGGATCTTAATATGAAGAGCTGCCCACTTAGAGCTGGAACAAGATTTCCCAGATCCTAACATGGCAGGGCCCAGCTGTGCAAACACTCAGCATGGCCCCTTCCACCCCGGCCTGGACCAATCCCCGTCACCCACTTCTAGGGCTTCCAGAGGGCAGCACAAGTGTCCTGGACCAGGGAGGAAGAGACCCAGGTCACAGGGACCCCGTTTCCACTGGGGCCCGGGGTTCAGGCCACCCCCAGCCTGTATCTGGGGCCTTCACTGCAACCCTGTCCCACTCGGGGCCCGGTGGGGACTCACTGGGGAAACGCCAGGTGTCCTGCCACCCTCTCCGGGCCTCTGTGATGCCCCCAGCCTCCTCCACAGCAGGCGCACCCAGTCCTTCACCTTCCTGACTCCCCAGGAATTCCTGCCTGCAAAGCTGCAGGACTATGTGGGGTCACCCCTAGGATGCACTGTCAGGGGGGTGCTGAACAGAAGAGGATGACGACAGAGCCCGCCCCTGCCTGCCCACCTGAGGCTGCTCGTTTGGGAGGGAAGCGTGGGGCACTGCGGGTAGGAAGCCCTGTTCAGGGCTCTGCTCTAGGGAGCTGCTCTCACCTGGCTTCCTGCTCCCAAAGAGCCCTCAAATGTGCCTTCTGCTGCATGGGTTATATGTCCAAGAGGCACACACAGAGCAGCTCCTGTGTGCCAGGCGTAGTGCTGTGCCCCCTCAGGGAGGCAGCAGCAAAAGGGGAGTGAGGGCTGGAGGTGGGGGAGGGTGGAGGCAGGCACCAAAGAGGGGGTGCCCTGTGTCCCCACATGGGCAGTCTGCAAGTGACCGCTCAGACCACCAGACTCAGAGCCCCAGGCTGACTGGCACAGAATGCCCTAGGAAGGAGTCTCCTTGGAGGGACCATCTGGCATGGCTCTGGACCAGTCTCTTAGTGCTCAGTGCAGGATGGGTGGGCACCTAACAGGGCACTGGGCACCTGCGGGGCTCTTCCTTCCTCAGCGCCCTCCAGGATGCCTGACTGGTGAGCATGGGCCCTTGGCACCATGTGGCACAGCACAGCTCGGCTCAACTGGACAGCCAGGTGCAGCCAGGGCCAGAACCACCACTGAACAGCAAGGCAGTCACATCCCTACCCCCCTCCCAAATGTAGGTCACGCCAGGGCTCAGGAAGAGGAGCCCAGCACAGGCCTTCCTCAGCCCCGACTCTCCTGGGTCAGGTGCCCTCCTGCTTCTGGTCCAAGAGGGCTCCAGGGGGTCTGTCACAGAGGCTGGTTTTACCGCAGCTTGAAGAGCTGGAAGGTGCCGTTGGCAGGGAGGAGCCTCCGTCCACCCTCAGAGCGATGGGAACCCGGGCAGGAAAAAGCCACGTGCACCCAGGCCCTGTGCAGCTCCTGCAGGCACTAACAGCGCCTCTGCCCTGAATGTGTGCTGAGGTGGTCTCCAGAGCCCCGTGATCACCCTGCAGTCCCCAGGCTGGGACTGGGGCCAGGCTGGAGGACAGGGAGCTGGAGAGAGCACAGTTCGCATTTCCCGCCAATCCCACTCCCACAGATGAACCATCATCCCAGGGGCTACAGAGGCGAGAGGTAAGACCCAAGGGCAAGGCCAGGGCTCAGTGACCAACCCGTCCCCAAGAGCTGGCAACCTCCCTCCATGAAGAGGAAGCACTGTGGGAGCTCCCAAGGTCGGTCGATGACACGTAATCCATGGTCTGGGTGCTGAGTAATAAACCCAGGGCCTAAGCACCCTGTCAGGCTGCAACTGCCAGCCAGGAAGTGCTGGAAGATGGCACACTCTGAGCTGGCTGGGCTGGGGGACCCATCTGGAAGCAGAGGCTCCCATGCATGACTTGGAGAGATCATTCTCCCACCAGGGACCCCAGCAGTTCCAGGGGCAGCTGGGACCACAGCCTGGCCTGGGCTCCACCGTCCTGCTCCAGACTAAAGCCCATTGAGATCTCAGCTGTCATTCATCCTCGAAGGGAGAACGCGGGGAAAGCAAAAGGTGCCATGGGGGCGGGCACGATAGGGCAGGGGACAGGGCGGGCAGGATAGGGCAGGGGACAGGACTATGCAGCGCAGCGGCCTCCACAGAAAACAGGCCTCAACCTGACCCCACGGGGATCTGCACCAGAGTTGTTCCCATGAGGGCAGGCAGGAGGTTCATGTCCACATGCCAGTCAGTTGTGCCTGCGGGCGGCTGCAGAAAGGGGCGGAACTTGGCACTGTGGAATGCTGTAGGTTTACCATCCATGTGGCTGGACAGGTGTGGTTCACCTCCCAACCCAAGCCCAGGGCTGGCACACAGTTGGTCGCTGGTTCTCAAATGGAGGTTACTCTGCCCCCAGAGGACAGCTCACAGTGTCTACAGACACTTTTGGTGTCAGCTTGGGCATGGGGTGGAAGAGACCTGCAGCACAGGTATTCTGGGGTGGGCAGTCTCAGGACTGGGAGAAGGGGACAGAGATGAGACCAGTGTGGGTGTCCTGAGAGCTGGCAGAAGAGTGGCTGGTGCCTGAAGGGCCTGGCTTCCCGGGGCTCAGAGCTGGGCACAGGTGCGGGCTGAGTTCACCCAGTGGCTCCCCTGCCCCAGGCCCTGTCCAGCAGGGATCTGGCTTAGTCCAGGGAGCCTGGCATGGTGACTCTTGCTGGCCCTTGGGAATGTGCAACCCATGCAGAACCCTCAGCCCAGCACCCACCCGGCTCAGCAGCCCCGGAGACCTTCTCAAGGACGTGGGCAGCTTCCCGCTGGGAGCCACAGCTGAGTGGGCATGTGGGCCCTGGCCTCATCTCCACCACTAACTCACGTAGCCTTGGCAAGCCTCTCCGCCCTCCACGGACTGCAGGGGCCTTACTTCAAAGTGGGGAAGAGCACCAGCCCTGCTACCCTCTGGAGGTGGGAGGGCCCTGGGCACCTGGCGAGGTGCGTGAGAGGGGCCTGCACGATGGGGAGCCCTGGGGAGGTGGTCGCTCATGACTCTCTTGCTATTATTTTGCAAAGCTGGAAGTTTTGCCAGTAATGCCAGCTCAGAGAGAGGGCAGATCCCAAGAAGACTCCGAAGGTAGAGTCAGCACAGCCTGGGAAGGAAGTACTCCCAGGAAAGAATGGGGGGGTGCTGGGGAGTAGGGGACAGAGCACACAGCAGCACACAGCACTCAAAGCAGCCTCCAGGCCCCCACAAACACCACTGCAAACACCCCTCCCTCCAGACAGCTCTACCTGAAGCCAGCTTCTCGGGCGGCCATAGGGGCGGGGCAGCTGGAAGGAAGGAGAACAGTGTCAGGTGGCAAATGCCAACCATGCCCATCACTCTGTCCAGTGCCCTCCCTGGACAGCTATCAGCCCAAAGCCAGAAGGACCCCAGCAGAGCCGGAGTGGTTTCCCACACCGAAGGCCAGGGTTGGGACTCACCAAGGCGACTCCCAGGAGCTCCGTGTCTTCAGAAAGTCCAGATTCGCCAAGGACTCACTGAGCAGCAGCCATGCCCCTGGCACTGCGTCCTTAGGAGCACCCCAACGCCCACACCAGGTGGAGCCACCCTATGTACCCCGCTACCCTCCCAGGGAAAAGCAACCCCGTGAGAGGCCCTGGGATGGGATGCTCCGGCCTGGAAGCACCCCAAGACCCCCGCAGCTCAGAGAGGCCAGGGTGAGGATGCACGCCCTACCTGGCCCCTGCTGTAGCCTCTGCAAGGTTGCTCACAAGAGCTACATAGTCACACCAACTGGACTGACTTTCTTTTTTCCTTTGTTGTTTTGTTTGGTTGGTTGGGTTTTTTTTTTTTTTTTTTTTTTTTTTTTGGAGATGGAGTGTGGCTCTTGTCGCCCAGGCTGGAGTACAGTGGCACGATCTTGGCTCACCACAAGCTCTGCCTCCCAGGTTCAAGCAATTCTCGTGCCTCAGTCTCCCAAGTAGCTGCGATTACAGGCGCCTGCCACCACACCTGGCTGATTTTGTATTTTTAGTAGAGATGAGGTTTCTCCATGTAGGTCAGGCTGGACTCAAACTCCCAACCTCAGGTGATCTGCTCGCCTTGGCCTCCCAAAGTGCTGGGATTACAGTTGTGAGCCATTGTGCCCGGCCTTTTTTTTTTTCTTTTAATTTTGAGAGAAATTCATTTGTGGGGGCGAGGGACAACACACACTGGGGCGTGTTGGGGGCATGGGAAGGGAGGGCATCAGGAAGAAGAGCTCATGCATGCTGGGCTTAATACCTGCATGAGAGGCTGATCGGTGCAGCAAAACCATGGCACGCGTTTACTTACGAAACAAACCTGCATGTCGTGCACACATACCACGAACTCAAAATACAAGTTGATGGGCGAAAAAAAGGAAAATAAAAAAGAACAAAGGGGCTGCTGCTTCAGTTTAGAGTCCAGAGACATCTTCCCAGTCTGTGCTCAGATCAGGCAGTGGAGATGAAAGGTGTGCCAGGTGTGGCCGATGTCACTTACCCACGGCTGGCACTGCTACTCCTAGTCCCATGTAACTTCACACCCTAAATCCCATTTTTCAAACTTGGGTGTATGCACCACTCAGGGCCATGTGGCCTGTGACTGACGAGGTAACACGCAGACCAGGTCTTGGCTGCCCTCCTGTCCGGGTCCCTCTGCAGACCCATTACTTGTCCTAGTGAGGTGAGTGAGGGACAGACCTGTGCGAGGCTTTGGGGGGGTTCAGTTTTGGTTTTTTGGTATTTTTTGAGATGGAGTCTCACTCTGTCTCCCAGGCTGGTGTGCAGTGGTGCGATCCCAGCTCACTACAACCCCCGCCTCCTGGGTTATAGCCATTCTCATGCCTCAGCCTCCCAAGTAGCTGGGATTACAGGTGCCAGCCACCACGCCCACCTAATTTGTTTTTATTTTTTAGTAGAGACAAGGTTTTACCATGTTGGCCAGGCTGGTCTGGAACTCCAGACCTCAGGTGATCCACCCACGAATACAAATTCAGCAGCCCTGCGGTCCTCCCACCGTGCTAAGATTACAGGCCGGAACCACTGTGCCCGGCCGAGGGGTACAGATTTGCAAAACCCCAATCTCACCTTGGCTGAGTAAGCCAGAGCAGCTCCTCAACTTTCCAGGCCTCTGTCTGTTTCCATATAAGCTGGGGTCAGGCGGAGGGGGACCGGAGGCTATGGCTGGCCCACAGGGGACAGGCAAGATCACGGAGGCTAAGCCACCACCCTTACCGCTGGCCACTCCGACTCCCAGTACTTTCCACAGTTTGCCTTTCCATCCTCTGAACAATGTATGTGGCAGACACCATTAGTGTGCCCCATTTTGCAGAGGGGAAAACTGAGGTGCAGAGAAGTTAAGTGACCTGTCCAGTGCCACTCAGCTGCACCAGTGAGACTTGAACCAGGCCCTCTGGCACTAGAGTCCTGTGCGTGGCCTGTCAGCCCTGGAGATTCTCCCCCAACGTCTGGCTCACGGTAGATGCTCCTTACGCTGCTGGCGCTAGGCACAGAGGTGGAATTTCCCAGTCTTCATTCTGCCCATGTTGTGAGACCTGACCATCTGTTCATCGGCTGGAAGGTTGGAAAGAGGGGGTTTCCTCCCTGGGCGAGGGAGAGGCTGGACTGACTCTGAGGTTCAACTAAGGAAGCACTTAAAATCCTCCAGAGACCCAGAGACTGCACTGCCCATGACAAAGGTGACAGGGGCAAGGCGGCCAACCCCAGATGGCAAACACGCAGAGCAGGGAAGGGCTTGGAACATGCTACCAAGGCATGGAAACACTGACCAACAGAGATGCCCATGTGGGCCACCGTGAGCTAGCATTTCCAGAGGAACCCAGGCTCAGGACAGCCCGTCCTCCTCGGGACACAGGAAACAGAACTGAAACATTAGCCATGGGTTGAGACGGTGGCAGATCAATCCTCTTTCCCCCAGCCTCAGTGGGCTCAGAACTCAAAGAACAAAGAGCACTCGTTCCCTCGGGGATGGGCCAGGCCCAAGCGGCAGCAGAGGGCACATGGTCAGCCAGACCTTGAAAGCTCCAAGGCCCTTGGGACCACCTGGGGTGCTTCCCAGGGGCCACATCACACTGTGCTGGCATCACCATCACCCGGTCTCCCAGGTAAGGACACTGAGGCGTTGGGAGATAGAGGATTTCACCTGAAGCCACATAGCAGGTGAGCGCTGGAGCAGGGGTATTGCTTTACAGAAGAGCCTGTCTACAAGCAGAGGAGAGAGGCCTCAGAAGGAGCCAGCCCTGCCGATGCCTTGATCTCAGACTTCCAGCCTCCAGGACAGTGAGGAAAGCAATTTCTGTGGTTTACGGCCCCCAGTCTGTGCAACTCTGTTATGGCAGCCCCAGCAGACGAATACAAAATCCACATCAGGAAATCCACCTCCATCCAGACCTCAGTTTCCCCATCTGTGCCTGCTGTGAATTCTGGGTCACTTTCAGCAGCCCTGTAGTACATGGAAGACCAAGGGAGAGGTGGGCACAGGGGTGAAGAGGAGGAGGGTGGGCGGGGGCCTTTTATTCACCAGCCGGGACCCAGTCTTGCGCCCCAAGCCAGCCCTCTGGCCTAGGGAAAGAGAACATTAGGAGCGCGCCTTGCTCTTTTGTAAAGCTGCCTTTTTGGCGCACAATGGAGGCTGCATTTATCAGCCCAGCAGGGGAGTTAACAAGAAGCCCCAGCGTCAATTATAGCCGCCCCCAGCCCAGCCTGGCTGGGCACAGAGAATCCACAGGAAAAATAATAACGCACACGGAGTCTTGAGATGAATCATCACGGAGAAAGCAGCTGTGTTGATGAAATTTTAAAGCCAACATGAGAAAGAAAATACGAACAGCAATACAGTAATTGAGTCTGTGAACATGCTGGCACATTTTTAATTAAAGCTATTTTGGAGTTAAACAGAGGCCACGGGCGGAGGGGTGGGACCATGGGGAGTGGGAATCCGGGGAGGCTCCCCACCCTTCCACCCAAACCCCAAAGCCACTGTCACCTTATGATATTCCAGAGAAGAGCATTCTTCTCTCCTGCTTTTCAGCGACAGGAAGAGTCCCTGCTTTGCGCAGAGGTGGGGGTTTCTGTACAACTTGATTTCCCTAACAAGATTTAAATGTCAGAATCACAGAATCTCACAAGCCAGAGTCCATGAGGCTTAGGACAGCATCTCATTCAAGGCTGCAATCTCTCTCTTCAAGATTCCCAAACATGGTCACCCAGCCATCTCTTGATTATCTCCAAAAATGGCACCCTCACTACCTGCTGAAGCCCTCCCTTGGTTAAGCGGGCCTTCCTCATTCCGAATAAGAACAGCCTCCCCTCTAAGCCTTGGAGACTGGACAGGGGTCAGCGACAGGCTCCCCAAGGCACATCCACCCAGTTCCACCATGCTGAGCACTGGAGACACAGATGTGACACTCAGATCCTGCAGCCCTGTCCTGGAGAAGATGACAGTCCAACAGGGGTGGGGGCCAGGGTCCACGAGGGTGGGTCTGGACACCCTGTCAGCAAAGGTGCACAGCCTGGGGACAGAGAGAGCTCACAGCAAGCCTGTGGGTGGTCAGGGAGGGCTGCAGACAGGAGGCCAGGAGGACGGAGACTAAGTCAACCCCATCTTCCCGGCGCCTCCCTGAACATGGGGCCGCCAGTCTCCTCATGGGCAGTGCCCTGCCACGAGCTCTCTTCACCTCCCCTATTCTTCAGGGGCCTCTCTGTGCATGTGGGTCCTGCGGGCTGGGCAAAGTGGTCAGGCAGGAACAAGGGTGAGACTGGCAGCTCCCTGAGGGCAGGCCTCTCCCTGGCCAGCCCTGCATCCCCAGGGCCACATATCTAGTAGGTTGTCAGTTACGCACTGAATGAATGAGTGCCCACTTCTCAGATGGCAAACAGAGGCCTGGGAGAGAAAGTGGCTTAAGGATCCACATAAAGCTGGTGTCACTGAAGCTACCTCAGGAATCCCAATGCAAAGGTGGGCTTGAGACCCACACTGCTGCCGAGAGCCACGGCCCCACTGCTGCCGAGAGCCAGGGCCCCACTGCTGCCGAGAGCCAGGGCCCCGCCTTCACCCGGTCTTTCCGTCTCTCTCTCCTGCTTGGCTCAGAACAGCACTGCCCTCCTCCACGGCCAGCAGGAGCCCTGCCCAAGATCCCGGTTCCTCTGGTTCTTCTTTTTTTTTTTGAGGTGGAGTCTTGCTCTGTCACCCAGGCTGGAATGCAGTGGTACAATCTCAGCTCGCTGCAACCTCCACCTCCTGGGTTCAAGCGATTCTCCTGCCTCAGCCTCCCAAGTAGCTGGGATTAAAGGCACGTGCCACCATCCCAGGCTAATTTTTGTGTTTTAGTAGAGACAGGCTTCATTGTGCGGCCCAGGCTGGTCTCAAACTCCTGACCTCAAGTGATCCACCCACCTCAACCCCACAAAGGGCTGGGATTACAGATGTGAGCCACCAGGCCTGGCCGTGGCTCCTCTGGTTCTGCTGATGCCATGGGCTCTGGGGATGCCACCAGCTCCTAGAGCTTTTGTTGTGAGGCTCAAGGCCCTCCACTGCAGTGTGGCGACAGGGGCAGGAGACCACACAAGCACCAGGGGTCGAAGCCCCTCGCAGCACAGAGCTGCCCCTTTCAGGATGCTGGGTGTGTCCTGACACCACTTGCTGGGAGCCCGGGGTCCAGACCTCTGCCTGCTGCAGACGCCATGCTGAGGAAGAAGCTAGGGGTGCCACACAGAGACACAAGAGACACAACCACACGCCACACAGAGACACAAGCTCCTTCAGCCACCACTCCAGCAGCACGGCCTCACTGGGCTTCATCTGGGGAGAAAGCAAATTTCTGCTAAAGAAACGAAACACCTGAACTCCTCTGCACTGGATGATCTCTGAGTTCCGCACCCTGGTTTTATGTAGCAACATGCAGACAAAAGCAGGTTTCTGTTCTTAAAACCCTGTCCAACCGCCTGCAGCCAGCAAGCCTGTGTCCAGGCAAGGGCCAGCAGCTCCCCAGCCATCAGGGTCTCATGTTGGTACCCTGCAGGCCTGGCTCAGGGATGGGGATGTGAACAGAGCCCTGCTGCTACCCCCAGGGAGCAGGTCGGAGCAGGCCTGGGAGGGAGGGGGTCCTGGGCAGATCCAGCTCCTCCATGCTGGGGCTCAAGGCTGAAGCTCTCATCCGCCTCCACCTGTGCACAGGTAGGCTCAGGGCAGGTAGACATAGCTATGGTGGAAGCCCGAGCTTCGGCCACCCGAGCGTGGTCCTGACCCTCGTTCTGCAGAGCAGAAGCCACCTGCCAGCACCTGGAGGCAGGACTCCCTCGCCTACACACTTCGTGGGATGCTTTCCAAAGCAAAGGTCCCTGAGCCACGACCTTCCCCTGGTGTCACTTCTGCCTGCCGCTCCCACAGCCCACCCCACACACCCTCCTTAGCAACCGCCACGGCCCCGCCAGGCCCACATGGAAGGTTTACGTCTAGGGAGCCCCGCTCCACAGGCAGGTGAGACCCCAGCCCCGCCTGCCCCCACCTGCCCCCAGCAGCCCTGTGAAGCCAGCACCGCCTGTGGCCAAAGCCCTTCGCCATAGAACACCTGACAGCAAGGCATGAAATGACAAAAGCCAGCCTTGCAATTCAGAGCCTGGCTATGCGCTTGAGCATGTGTGGTGGGGGTGGGGGTGGAGGAGAGTTTGGAAGAAGCCGGATGAGGACGTGTACTCTCCTGAGTCCCGCCAGGCCCTGGGAACCTACCCCACATGGCCCACGCAGGGATGAAATGTGGGGATGACGTCCGTGGAAGCCGTGCTCCCTGCTGGGGCCGTAAGCCTCCCAGCAGCTGCCCAGTGGGCAGAGAGGGTGCCGTGGAATTCCTGAGCCAGGCAGTCAGCACCAAGCCTGGCTTGGTCACCTAGCAACGGGGCCAGGCAGCTGAGCCATCCCTGGGGTTGGTTCCCAGAGAAACGCTTTGGGTATCCCAGCCCGGCCACCCATAGCCCAGTGGGGAGAGCAGGGAGAGGGAGACTGGGATGAAGCCGGGGATGGGCCCAAGGGGTCGGAAGCTGAGCAGCTTGAGGGGTTGCCAAGCCAGCTAGACCCCAACACCCAAGCATGGCTGCCCACAGCCTCCTCTCAGCAGCCCCCACGCCTGCCCCACCTGCAGCAGGGAAAGCCCTTGTCCCGGCAGTCACAGGTCCCCTCCACACTCCAGTCACACTGAAGAGGCACAGCCCCTCACCCAACACTACCTCCCCCTGCAGCCAACGCCTCCCTGCTGTGCCCTTGCTGCTAGACTCTGCACAGGGGTAGCAGCCTCATCTGTCTGTGGGCAGGGCCAGGCCGAGGAGGGAGCAGGGGACCCCAGCCCAGGGAGGAACCAGCCAGTGAATCCAGCATGGCAAAGGCGGGAGGCTTCTGTGTGAGCCTGCCCCATCTCCTGCCTGGATCTGCCTGTCTGCTAGAGGAGTGAAGCAGCCCATTTCTTCACCAGCCGGATGTTGTCCCCAGGCAGCCCCCAAGGAGTTTGAATACTGGGTAGTCAGCCTGGAGGGCTGGAGGGAGGGCAGCCCAGAGGCATGGGAGCCAGGGATAGGCCCCTGACCCCACTTTCCAGGAGGTGACGGGGAGGGCATGGGTCCCAAGGGGAATGGTGCCCCGGGTGAGCTGGAGGGGTGGCGCTGGGACGCGGTCCTCAGGGCAACGCCACCCGCAGCTGGCCTACCTGTGCGAGGAGCTTGTCACCCTCCAGCAGCCTGACTTTGGTCTCCAGTTGCCTGATGTAGGTGGACGAGGGATCTGGAAGGATATGAGAGAAAGGGGGACATCAGACTCCAGCAGACTCCACCCCAGTGCACCACCCCGACTGGCCCCAGGGCCGGCCTGGAAAGTTTGGGTCTGAGGAGTCCCAACCTCAGCCAGGTGAGACCCCAGCCCTGACTGCCCTTGCCCGCCCTGGGGAAACAGCACAGCCTGCAGCCAAATCACCACCCCCAACCCGGCCCCACCATAGAGCATCAGACACCAACACACAACACACACAGGCCAGCCTTGCAGGACCCGCCCGCTACCCTCGCCAGGGGCCTCTCAGCTATTGTCAGAACCTTCAGGACCCATAGAAAGGTAAGGGGGTGGCTTCGCCAGCCTGCCCTGGAGCAATTCCTTCAGCTTCCAAGACGCTGAAGGCTCAAATGGAGCTCTCATAAGCACAGCCAGGCCGCAGCCCACCTCAGGGTCAGGGTCAGGGAGCCCCCTCCCCTACACCGTGGGGAAACAGGCTCCTGAACTTGCGGACTAGAATCAGCATCTGGATCCTTCAGTCCACCTGGCCTGATTGCCCAGGAGCTTCTCACAAGCAAAGTGTACCCATAGCATATGCCACAAGTGAGCGGCCACCTTCCCCACAGGACAGTTGGGCGCCCCCGAAAGACACCTCGTGGACCCCCCTCCCCCAGTCACATGTCACCAGGTTCCGAACTCAGGCCTATCGAGGCCCATCCGTGCAGACCATGGCTGCAGAGTGAAATTCACCACCCTCACCACACTGACCCTGCTTTCCAGTCACCCAGGAAAACAGGGAAAGATCCTGTCCCCACGCCCAGCCATCCCATCCCCCTGGTCCTGCCAGGTGAGACCCTAGCCAGGATGCCCAGGGCAAACCCTCAGGGCAGAGGGCTGGAGGAAGGGAGGGAAGGCAGGATCGGGACCCAGACCATGGGGGTGCCGGAAGACTACTCAGCAACAGCAGGTTTGGGAGGCAGAGGCAGGGGGGCAGCAAGGCCTGTCCCAAGCACCCCTGTGAGCAACGAAGACACCTGGTAAGGGATGGGCTATTAATGCCAGAGATCACCTGGCCCAGATGCAAGCCCAGACCCCATCTACCCCGATGGCTGTCCGCCCACCGGCCCACCCTACAACAGAACACAGGGTCTTCCCAGGTTCATGCCGCCGACCCTCAATCGCAGAAGCAGAGACATCAGCCCCTTTGACCACACACAGCCAGCTCTCGCCCTCATGACCACCTCAGGGCCAGGGATGGACTCTGCAGGTTGTTAGCATGCCTGGCCAGGCGAGGGCTTTGGTGCTGCCGGGGACAAGCCAGGACCACTGTGCCAACCACAGGACCAACGAAGCGTCTGTCTGCCCCAGCATGCCAATAACGGGATGCTCGGGAGCCCCCTACTCAGCCCTGGACCGGGCCCAGAGCCCAGCAGAGCCACTGACCCAGCCATGGGCAGGAGCAGGTACTGCAGCCCTGGCTGGCCGCACTCACTGTTGGGAACAGCGTGAACCAGCCTCCCCTCCTCCTCCAGCCCAGTCACCTCCCAGGAATGTGGGGCCTTCTAGAGAGGCGAGAAGGGCAGGGCGAGAAGGGCAGGGCAGCTCCCCAGCCAGGCCCAGCCTCCCCATTCTGCCAGGCAAGCCACTCCTCCCCTCAGGTGACCTCAGGGCCTCACACCTCACCAGCCCTGGTCCTGCCCTCCCTGGCCTCAGTTTACTCATCACTCTAGCAACCCTGACAAGCAGTTCCCATCCCCACCCCAAGCAAAGAGGTGTGGCGGGAAGAGGCCTCAGCATTCAGGGTGTGCTGGTCCCTCTAAGCATGGGAGATGGGCTCCCCAAACCTTCAGGTCCTATACCTTACCCACAGGAGGGCTCCCTGGAACAGCAGCTGGGAAGCAGTGACCAAGTAAACGGCAGAGATGTCTCCAGCTCCCTCACCTGCCAGAGCTAGGAAAAGAACGCTCAGTGACTGCAGACCAATGTGTGGTCTCCCCTGGGTGGAGTCGGGGGGGAGGGGTACCCACCGTGCCATGTGGGATGCATGGTACCCGCTGCATCTGGTGCCTTGCAAAGGACAAGAGGCCTCCGTTCTCATTTTCAGATGCAGAGGCCATGGGGAACAAAGCGTCCCCACCACCAGCAGTGAGCCTTCCAGCCCCTCTCCCCACCACGCAGGCCTACCCCACGGGTCAGGTTTTAGCCCCTTTGAGCACACACAGCGTGTTTCTGGCTGCCCCAGGCAGAGCTGACAGCCCCAGCCTTGGAGAGAAGCTGGCAGAGATTCAGAAAGACGACGCCGTTCCGGTTACGCTGCTGTCCTCAAGGCTCTCTGCAGCCAGTCCTCAGGCACAGGCACAGATGCAGGGGTGCTGCCCGCCACAGCACCCCATGGGACGAGGAGGACCCAGCCACTGTGTGTGACCAACAGCCCAAGACAGGCACTAACGTGTTCTCTGAGCTTCACGGACGCAGAACCATACAGGAGGTGGGTACACTTTCAGCCCACCTGCCCGGCTCTTCCAGTTCCCACAGGGTGAGCAAGGGCTCCCAGTGCTTGCCTCTCGGTTCACCCACAATCGGAGGAGGAGGCTGAAACCCGAGTCCACAGCAGTCCCATCAGCCTCTGCACCCTTGCTGGGTGCCCCTGCTCCTATCTGAGCAGTCTGCCCCCTCAGACACAACCGGGGTACCTCCCAGGAAGGGTTAAAGACACCGATCAGGCTGGCACATGGCATCAGGAGAAGGGACGCCGACAGGCCATCCCACAGTCACAGCAATGCCCCACAGGCCTACAGCTAGCACCTCACCTCAGGGCCCACAGGCCACCATCCTCCCCATAGGACCACCTGTAGGCACAGACAGGAGGCCACACCCATAGCCCCAGACCAAGGAGCTGCCCCTGACAAACCCATCTGTCCAGGTTGACTCCAAACCCCAAGCAGCTACGCAGAACAAAACACGCTGTAGACCACCAGCATCTGTTGGGTTTTTCTTTAAATTTTAAAATAACAATCTAACAGCCTTAAAAATATTTTAGACCATCAAGTAATTCCAACGGAATCTATTCTAAAGAATTAATTCTAAGCTGGGCATGGTGGCTCACACCTGTAATCCCAGCACCTTAGGAGGCTCAGGTGGGCAGATCACCTAAGGTCAGGAGTTCGAGACCAGCCTGGCCAACATGGTGAAACCCCATCTCTACTAAAAATGTAAAATTAGCTGAGCATGGTGGCAGGCACCTGTAATCCCCAGCTATTTAGGAGGCTGAAGCAGGAGAATTGTTTGAACCCAGGAGGCAGAGTTTGCAGTGAGCCGAGATCACGCCATTGCACTCCAGCTTGGGCGACAGAGCGAGACTCCATCTCAAAAAAAAAAAAGAATCGAGCCAGGTGCGGTGGCTCACGCCTGTAATCCCAGCACTTTGGGAGGCCGAGGCGGGTGGATCACGAGGTCAGGAGATCGAGACCATCCTGGTCAACATGGTGAAACCCCGTCTCTACTAAAAATACAAAACATTAGCCGGGCATGGTGGCGCGTGCCTGTAATCCCAGCTACTCAGGAGGCTGAGGCAGGAGAATTGCCTGAACCCAGGAGGCGGAGGTTGTGGTGAGCCGAGATCACACCATTGCACTCCAGCCTGGGTAACAAGAGCGAAACTCCGTCTCAAAAAAAAAAGAATTAATTCTAATGATGAAGAAAGCAGACTGTTAGAGTGGCCAAAACTGGAAATAACTATTTGTCCAACAACAGCTGAGGGTTCCACCCTATCATCATTAAAATGTTTAAAAAGAGTCTGTCTCCTAAACAATATGGAGAACACTTAAAATGCCAGTGGAAAGAACTGGACACAGAATGACACGTGCAACGGCTGGGACGATTAAAAATACCGACGCACTGACACGAATTCAAGAAGAAAGTCGACAGGAATGCTGACTGTGAGTGGCCCAGATGAGGGAACCAGTGAGTTTTTATTTGTTCACATCATTTCTCATTAATTTTCAAATAACGTACTTCTAATCTAGTTCTAAAATCCTCCTTTCAGAAAAAAAGAATGGCGGGGCACAGTGGCTCACGCCTGTAATCTCAGCACTTCGGGAGGCCAAGGCGGGCAGATCACCTAAGGTCAACAACGTTCAAACCAGCCTGGCCAACACGGTGAAACCCCATCCCCTACTAAAAACATAAAAATCATCCAGGCATGGTGGTGGGCACCTGTAATCCCAGCTACTCGGATGGCTGAGGCAGGAGAATTGCTTGAACCCAGGAGGTGGAGGTTGCAGTAAGCTGAGATCACGCCACTGTACTCTAGCCTGCGAAACAGAGCAAGACTCTTAAAAAAAAAAAAAAATAGGAGAATGGATTAAACTCTTGCACCTTCACATTACATGCATGGCCACCCACTGAAGCAACTGACATTTTAAACCCACCACCTCGACCCTCTTCCCGAATTCTGCTCCCTAGACTGGCTCTCCAGGCTGCCAGGAGCCAGCAAACCAGCATCTGTCACCCTGGGGTCAGGAGTAGGCACCCTACAGACAGGAAGAACAAGAGTGATCTGGGCCCTCCCAGGCGAGGGCTGAAGGGCAGGAGACCCCGGGAAGGGCCAGCTCCCAGGGAGGACCATCCTTCCCAGCAGCCTCAAAATTCATGATCCTGCTGGGCGCCTGCAAGCCCCAGTCTCTAGGAGATGAGCGTGTAATTAAATTAATCCCAGGGTTTACAGTAATGAGCGCTGGAGCCACAGGGGAGGGGACTTCATTTCCCAGCTTGGTTGCCTGCACGCAAAATGAGGGAGGCGACCCTAGGCTGGCCTGGCCAAGGGGTCCCCTAACCCATCTGGGGGCCATCGGACCAATTCTGGGGGATTCCTAATCCAACTGCCAACCAGGGAGGAGGGTGTCTCCCTACAATGTTGTTGTGTCCAGGAGCCAGACCTGAGCCCTCACCCCACCCTCTCCATGGATCCTTGGCTCCCATGAGGAGGGGGAGGGGGAAGCCGTGCAGCACAGAGGTGG